TCATGATATACCTGGTGACTTCTAGAAACAGGCTTGGACAGGAGTAGCCTACAAACAAACCTGCTCACACCTTGTTTTTCCCTCCAAATCAGGATTTGCCATTCCCAAACCTTGGCTGGATAGAGGAGGAGGCTGTGACGAAGAGGAAGATGTCCCAGTACCACCAGGCATGTGAGGATGAAGTCACTGCCCTTTACCCCTCTCTTCTCCTCCAAGAGCAGSATGAYCCCTGGCTGCAGGACAACCYCRCTGCCGACACCGTCCTGCTGGGGATGGATTGGAGCGGATTTCCTTCCTCTTCCCTCTGGCATGGAGGTGAATCCCATCCTCTCCTTGTGCTTCCTGCCCCAGAAAATGAGCTGAGGACGGAGAGCAGGGAGAACACATACCCCCTTGCAGAACCTCGTGGAAGAGGCTGTTTTCAGTGTCTTCACGGCACAGGAATCCAACGGGGATGAAAACTTCCAGAGATCCCACATGAGGATGAGCAGCATGCCAAACCCAGGGTTCTCTGAGGGGGAAAGTCCCACCCTGTCGCAGGAAGGCACCCAGAGCTTCAGCCAGGACTTGGAGCTGGGGGTTCATGAGCAGCTTCACGCTGGGGAAAAACCCTACAAGTGCTGGGAGTGTGGGAAGAGCTTCGGGTGGCGCACCACCCTGATCCGCCACCAGCGGACCCACACTGGGGAGAGGCCCTACGAGTGTGGGGAATGTGGGAAGAGGTTCAGAGCAAAGTCCCACCTGATAAGGCACCATCGCACCCACACCGGGGAGAGGCCCTACAAGTGTGATGAATGTGGGAAGACCTTCAGTGACATCTCCAGCCTCATCTCCCACAAGCGGATCCACACTGGGGAGAGGCCCTACGAGTGTTCTGAGTGTTGGAAGAGGTTTAAGACCAGCTCCAATCTTCTCCTGCATCAGCGGATTCACACGGACGAGAGGCCCTTCCACTGCCCTGACTGTGGGAAGGGCTTCAAGCATAAGTCCCACCTTGTCACCCACCAGCGCATCCACACTGGGGAGAGGCCCTATGAGTGTTCCCAGTGTGGGAAGAGCTTCTACTGTAGCTCTAACTTGATCCAACACCAACGGAGGCACCACTAAGGGAAGCCCAGTGAGTGCCCCGACTGCATGAAATGCTTCATCCTGTGCTCCAACTTCATCCTCCATCGCAGGACCCATTTTGGGAAGAGCCCTGGTGACCCACATTCCCAGTGATCCTGGCACCTGTCCCTTTCTCTGCCCCTGGCACTGATGTGAGATGGGATGGAAGAACATGAGGGTCTGGCCATGCCCCTGTCATTATATCTGATCCCATCTCAGGTCATTGCCAGGGACAGGAAAAAGGGGCTCTTTCTCTCTCCCGAGGGGAAAAGGTCCTTTCTGGGAAGGAGAAAATAGGTGGTCAGGAGGAGCCCATTGGTGCTGGCCAAGTTTTCCCTGTAAATTGTTTGTTACTATCCCTTCTGTTATCAATATTGTTGCTGTTCCTGTTGGTTCCTTATCTCATTTCTGTTCCCAGTAAATTGTTCTTATCCCAGCC